GTTATTTGCCAAGGTGACAAGATTATAAGTAAGTCACTGGGACATATTTTAGTTTTTCTAGAATATACACTCGAGCTGGCGTTGAGTAGAAAGAGGCAGCTAATATGGAAAAAGTCCGTCAAACGGTAACTAACAAAGAGAAAAGAGTGACGTTTAAAATAAACAGTAAACAGGTAGGGCCGACGAATCAGAACGCTGTTAGTTCGTTTGCGGCGTGTTATGAACTCTGCCTATCCCCCCACAGACTACTTGCTACTTACTCCAGTCAACATTAATGATTATTTTCAAAAGGATGTAAGTGTTGTAGTATGTTCCGTGGCCTTTATGCGAGTTTCGGTGGCATTTCGTTCGAAAAATTTCATAATAATTGGGAGGTTGTGAATCGCCTGCCAAGCCCAATGTGCAGCGCTTTACTTAGACTAAAAGATCCTCGAGCACAACTAGCCATAAATGTACTGACAAACAGCAGTAGTGGTTACTGTCGTCGAAGTTTGACTTTCGAAATACTGGACTAGAAGGACGTAGGGTCTCGTAGTGCCGTCAGTGCTTCACAAGCAGGAGTAGCTTGCTACTTGGTCTTGTTCTTAGTCTTTAATCAATGGCTTCGGAGGTAGATTTGAGGATAAGAAGGGCCTGTAGATGAATCTCACTACTGCCGATCACGAAAAGTTGGTTCGGTATACAGGACCTGCATTTTCATACGGTAGCAGTTGACGCAGTTCACAGTTTTAACGACATTTTTGAGACTGGGTCGGACCGTTTAATTAATGCTGGTCATAAAAGTGAGAAGGTTCAAAAAACAAATCGTTAGTAAACTACATACAAGAGTGAACGTTTGCAGCAAAACGACACAATTACAAGTGCGATCCAGGAGCTTTCGTTATGCACCCTATAAGCAACGGTAATTTTCACACGGAATTTGCTCTCTCATTACGGTTGGACGTAGTAGGGGCTCCAAACCGGAAAAACCGAGACACACGATACGAAACACTGGGCTGGATATTTGGTAACGGGGCAATATTAAACGGAAGCGTGCTGATTCTGCATTAGGAATTGAACTGAGTATGAAAACAACGAATTTACTACCGGTCTGCCTTTAGGCTGAGACAGGTCGCAATCGTTCAACCACACACTGACTCGTGGAATACTAAC